TTTTATATGTTTAAAGATGCAAATTACAACTCTAAATTCTTACACAAAGCAATCATAATGCATTTAAAGTTACATTTTCTAATTAAAATTCTTCACTCTTCTCCTTTGTTTCCTATTTGGCAACTATTTCTTTTTTGTTTTGGGCTCTCGTGATTTATCCTGTATATCCTTGTGGACCTTATGCTACATTGCTTACTAAGCCCTAAGGAAATAGCATTGTTAAATTTATATTAACACAAGCTTGACACAATTAGAACTTTTTAGGTCTTCTTTCTGTGTGACTTCATGCCTAGGACGTTAGCATTATTCCATTTTGGCTGTCATCTTAATGTCGATGAAACCTCATGATAAGACTATTTTATCTTGAGATGTTGATTTCATTGATATTGATTTCATTGTTGGCAATCTTAATCAGACAGCTGCTTCTGATATGGAGAATGCAATTCAAGAAATGGAAGACCAGGGTGTCCAATCATACATACTTGATTTGCGAAATAATCCAGTATAGTATTTATTTCTTTTTTTCTTACTCATTTCATTTTTTGCGGTGGACCTAAATGTTTTGTAATTTAATTAATTTTCTCATACGTACAGGGAGGTTTGGTGAAAGCAGGACTCGATGTTGCACAAATATGGTTAGATGGGGATGAAACATTGGTGAACACGATTGATCGGGAAGGAAATACGTTGCCTATCACCATGGTCAATGGTCATGCTTTAACACATGACCCACTTGTTGTGATTGTAAGTTTTTTTTTTATTTTTCTTATTGAATTTTAAACTATTCCAATGACTGAACAGCTCTATTGGAGACTCTTTTTCCATTGATTATGTCGAGCTCTTTTGTTTTCTCAAAATTAATCTAACTTTTCGTGTATATTCTTTTCTCTTAGAAAATGTTATAGGATATATCTAAAAACTTGAATACTTGAAGTTATGGGTCACCATTGCTCCAGTACTCGCACGAGAAACCATAACAAGATTTCAGTTAGCATTTCTTAGCCACAAAATTCCGTACAATTGAATACATTTCTCTTTTTTTTTTTTTGTGATTCAAATATATTTAATAGAAATTTTCAGATATAAGACTGATAACAAGTGATTATAAAAGAAGCATTACTAATAATTAGTAAAAAAGGCAATGCTTGCGATTGCACTAAATATGCAAGGATCAAATTGAGTTCTCATATTGATACACCACCAAAACATCAACTTTATCAGGAACATATATCATTGCATATTGGATTTGTATGAAGTTCAGTACTGCTGAATTCTGATTTCAATAAATTTATATTTAAACAGAACATCTCAACAAGACAAAATTTATGACGTCAAAAGTGATATTATCTTCACCTAAATGAGCCTAGATCAATCACTTAAACCACAATTGAAAACTTTTGGGACATCAGGTGGAATGTCAAATGGGCTTTAAAACTTGCATGCTTAATACAAATCCAACAAGCCCAAGGTCTTTTAATTTTGATATTATTAATCACTCAAAAACACACAAAATGCTTGACAATAAAGAGAATCGCTTAGGACCAATCGATAGAGTGTTTCAAATGATCATAATATTTATAAAAGATGGCATTTCCATAATTTATAAATAGCCCCTCACTCTATATAAAGAGGATCAGGGTTGAATACTCGAATAATGCTCAGAGGCCTAGAGATCCATAAGCTTTATGTGACTATTGTTGTTAGATCACCACCACCCGTCTATCATTGTTAGACTATTAGTATGTATCCACCATTTTCAAATCACTATAGCCATTTTATCATCGTTAAACCATCTTCATCTATCCACCATCATCCAACCCTCGTCGCTTGTCCACCATCAACAAATTGTCATTTCCCAATCATCAAAACAGCATCTCAGATAGTCTCTAATGTTGGGTTGTGCCATCTTTAAGTCGCTGTCATCTAATTATAGTCAAATAATCATTGACGCCCGACCATTATCGCCCACCTATAGTTATTAATCCACATTTTCCTTACTAGGCTTGCCCGACCCACATCACCTATCTATTGTTGCCTAATTCTCAATTGCGATCACCGAATCTATGACACTCAACTACGGTCACATGATCTCCATTGTTTGTTTATGGGCGTCAAACTATCATCTCTTTACTATGGTTGTGAAATCTCTATCACTTATCTATTGTCTCCCAATGATCACTGTTCGACGATGGTCACCCAACCTTTGTTGCTTATCTACAGTCATCCGATCATCATTACTCGCTATAATTGCTTGACCACCACAACTAGACTAGGATCACTCAACCATCATCATCCAATTATGATCACTTGACATATTTCAATCATTTATTTACACCTGACCACCCTCAAATATAGTCGTCTTAGCAACAAAGTTTGCTACAGTCACTCGAACACTATTTCCCAACTTTGATTGCCACACCACTATCTTCTTATTGTTGCCTTTTGATATGCATTGTATGACTACTAGGTTCATCTGACCGCTATCGCCCATCTATGATTGTTAACCTCTGTTACTAGTCTATGAACGCTATCATCCATATACGATCACTCTAGCATTGGTGTCAGCTTACAATAGACAGACCACCATAACCTAAGATCGCCCAATCTTCATTGCTCATATTTGATTCTTTTTTTTTTTTTAAAGATTCTTATTTTGCAATAGAATAAAAAATACAAAGTGTGCAAAGTATAGAGCTATGCATGTACAAAATGGGGCATTTCATCCCTAATGAAATAAAAAAAGATTATGAATATTATTTATATTTCTCAATTCTACCTCCTCCCTTGCTTCCTTGGCGACCTTTAGTCGGGCCACCTTCTTTCGCAACTTCTTCTGGCTAGGCTGCGAGAGTTTTTCCATCCTCTTCTCTTCTTAAGCATCAGATGCCACCCAAATCCCTCATTTACCACTACTTCAGTGATGTATTGAACGACTGATAGTTTTTTCTTTTCATTGTCGAAGCTAGACCCCAAATCTTGGGAGACAGACTTCTTCTTCTTATAAACCCCACTGGTCGGACGACTTTGAACTTCCCAATCCTCGGTGGTTCCAAGGACGAAGTGATGTTTCCAATCCTTGATCTTGTTTTCATGCCTAATTAAGTGGAACTATCTGGTTCCACGTGAAACGAGAACATGTATGAGAATAATTACTCCTACCATGGGATCTCCACTCGCCGACAGTAAATCACATAACTCATAATTGTCTCGAATGGGTTAAATCCGTGCAGGTATGACTTCATAATGTTTCAGGATCAATCGAAGTTCTGTGATGAAATGTAGACGAAGAACCCATTGAAATTGATCCCTGTGTCGCTTGGTCATCGGGCCTTACGAATCCCAAGTTGCATCATCAAAGGCGCAAGCCTCGAGTGATGCAATGTCGACCGTAGTCAAAGTGGATCACTCAATTGCAAGGATCATCCTGAAGCGTTTCAACGAATACTTGTTGAACATTCGAGCGAAAGAAGGAGAACCAACTAAAGGGAAGGAAGAAAAAGACCGAATGAGCAGAAAAATCCAACCATCAACTCATATATGTACAGGGCACCATAAGAAGTTCAAACGACACAGAGGAACAACTTCTGGGAAATTGGTTTTTAATGCAAACACACCCCCCTTCCCCAAAAAAAAAAATAAAAAATAAAAACCTAGTCATATCTATACTATCGGCTTGGGTATGGACTTGCAGAACCAAGCAGGTCGCTGATCCAAACGTCGACTAACTCTACCTGAAGAGTTGCTAACTTCACCGAGTGCTCCTACCTCAGGGCGGCTAGTTCTTCCCGAAGCTCCTTCATCTCTGCATCCAACTATAGACCTTTGGTTCCTGTTTCGAGGACTTATTGAGGGCTGATCAGGGTGTCGACTGCTTCCACCTACTCTGTGCTTTGGCCAAGGTTCTTTCAGCTGCACCAAAAGCGAGAACTTGGTCGGCTTCTGGAAGCAGCAAATAAATGCCCAGAACAACCTCAACTGCATCAACAAACAAACATAAAAGAAACTTCTAACCATAGCAGATCATCTCCACATAACCAAGGCTTGATCTAATTCGAACCACCGAAACCTCTCCCCCCCCAAGTTCTTGTTCCAAAATCGTAGCACCCTAATCTTGCGAGGTACTCGCCGTTTTGCTCCCAAGGCATGGTTCCAAAACCGCGGTCCTCTGATGTTTGGGCATGTCGGCCGTTTTATTGTTCAACCTTCACTTTCGTAGTTTGGAAACGGTGATGATTTTGGGATTTTGAAAATAATTTAAATATAAATATAACTTTTTTTAAAGTAGTAATGTTTTTTAATTTTTAAAATAAGTGAGACTAAACGAGTCTCACATTTTTAAATAGTTTAGATGGTTTAATATAATACTACAAGCAATACACTTATCCCGAAGAATAAATATATTACTTGTAATAGGGATTTAATCATCTAGACTAAACAATTTGTGACATCCGTTTTGATCTGCGAAATATTTTTATAAAAAGGCCAACAAGTTCCCCTATCTAATATAAAAAAAAAAATTAGATAAGGTTTATTTTATCTGGGTTCCTGGTTCCCTATAGAGGCAAACCCCTATAGTTAATTACATCTTAAATGATCGAAATCACTTAAGATAACTCTCGATTAAGATCAGGTGGTTTTGCTTTCAAGATTTCAAAGTTTAGGTTTTCACGATTGGACATGGGAAAATCAAATAAGAATGACTCAAAATAGGAACAATTATTTTAGGAATTCAAATGAAAGAAAAGTAGGGGATATCACAGATCTAGGGAAAA